CCTTGATATACATACACTTTAGTTATTGTTTTTGTTTGAAAATGGTGACGGAGAATTGATAAATGCTTTATATTTAGTACAGTCTCTTTACATAAAGTTTAATAATAAAACCGGTTCAACCGGTTTTATTAAATTCGGTTGCCCGAAATAAACCGGTTTTATTATATTCGGTTTATCGAATACGAAAAATAGGAACCGGTTTTACGTTGCAACCGGTTGCAACCGGTTTTAATTCGATTGTACCCAAACCGGTTCCAACCTCTAGATTGTTATTAGATCGACTTTTGTACACAACTACAGTCAGGACTATTACCATAAATGGATTTATGAAAATCTTACTTTTTATAGTAAACCCTGTTGATCAAGATACTCTAAAAAGTATATTTTGTGGAATGTGAAACGAAATGTAATAAATTTCTAATAATATATTAATATACTAATAATACTAATACTAACTTTATTATTAAGTTTTGTTGTTATTCATCATATTGGACCTTTTAATCATTTAAATAACAAACAAATCATGCTTTTTGATAATATTATTTTTACTTATAAATGAAATCAAGCTTACCTAGACTTACCACAGTAACATCTAATTTATTCCTCCATAATCTCTGGGTTTCCTACAAAATCACAATTATCAGTTTCATTTTCTTCATTTAATAAACATCTTACCTCTTGTAAAATAATCAACAAGTCACTTCTGTTTTTTGATTTAAATCCATGATACTTTCGTTGAACATTTTTATCCATTAGTTCAAAAAGAGATTCCAACCTGATTATGAGTTCTTTCTTTGTCATTTTTGTTTCACTGTCCTTCTTCTTTGGTTATTGGAATAGGTTTGGATAAATAATTTGTGTTGTTATGTAGAATACTTCCATGATATAATCTTCTCTAACTTTCTTTGCTAGGTTGCTAAAATTTTTCAGCTGTTCACTAAATTCATTCTCACCATCTAAGCTTTTATATATAGATGTTGATTCTTCTGGGTTGATAAAATTAAGACTTCTTAATTTGGCTCTAAATCTTTCACACTCCATACTTGATTCAGGACAAATTCTTGGGGTATTTGAATAAGTGTCTTTATATCCAATTGTTTTAAATAAATTGGTTCACAGCTGGATTTCATTTTAAATTATTGAATTTAAAAATAAAATTTTAAATTTGTTATCTATTACAATGTAAATATAGTGCAGGACATCTATAATGGTCAATGATTATCACATGATTTTAAAAGCTTGTAACTCCTTATTAAAAAAATAAAAATAAAAAGTAAACTGATAAAATTAAATTAAAGAACTAAGCTTCATTTCCATCAGTTTAATTTTTTCATTTTATTAGAAAAGTTTCGAGTTATAAGGCTTCAAAACATACAAATTTTATAATAAAATGAAGATTTCGGAGATGATTTTCCTCAAAAATTTCTTTATTTGTTACTAGCGTACTCCAAAAGTCATGTGTTTTTGTTACACCAGAAATTTTTATTTTGACTGATTTCTGAAATGTTACACTATTTCAGGATGATTTTTGGGACACATTTCGTTGGTTTTTTTTTGTTTTAATTGACAATCTGTGAATAAACCAGTGAAAATTAGTAGGATCGGCAGGGCAAAAATGGTAAAAAATCGCCAATTGACAATGTTTAACAAATAATAAAGCATGATATTTTTGTATTACAAATCTTGCTCTTTTTATGTATGTGTAAGGTAAATCTCATAGAATAATATGTCAAAATATTAAAGGGATTGGAGTGCTCTTCAAAAACTTTTGTATGCTTGTCATTGAGATTTCAAGAAGTCAATAACATATAAAAATTCAGAATTTTTTAACTTTCAGCCAACACTATAAAGTATTCTGACCAAAATTATACTTTTTTTTATCGGTTTATCAACAAAAAAAATTTTATTTTAATGAAACCTATCAAATGAACTTATATGTTGTTATAGTCAAATTAAAAAATAACTGAAAAAGAGTTTT